AACGGGGTCAGGGGTGTCCAGGGGGTCGAGGCAGACGACTGCTCGCAGAGTTGGGAGGCGATGCTTGATCTGGAAAAGAACCGGCAGATGTGGCAGTGTAGTGACAACGACGGCTTGTTCAGTGAGATTGATGATGTACTCCGTCGTGTCAGGTCCAAGGGTCTCGTACAACGACACCGTGAAAAGGCTTTGAGACTGGCAGCCAAGATCTGTACGCGCAGCGGTCAGTCAGCAGTTGCAAAGAAACGCAACCTCACTGTCTATGTTGCGACTTACCAACTATGTGCCACTCCGGACGGTTCTGCGACCAAAGCCCAACAGCCCTCTGATGATACTTCTCGCCGAGTTTTCTGTGAATCTCGACTATGCCAGCACCAAAGTTCGCCCGCCGTTCCTGGACTGTCTTGTAGTCCATCCATACATAGTCCCCGACGGTCTTCTTCACCGGGTCATATGGTCTCCATCCCAAGCAAGGTCTGTTCGCAGATTTCGCAACTATTGGGTTCCTTGTCAGCCATGGCGATTCTCCAAGCAAGCTTCTATCCTCGGGTTTCGTTTACCTCCGGCTTCGAACATATCATGCGCAGTACGGACCTGAACAGCACTGCCATGTTAGCTTGGCTCATTCTCGCCTCTGACTATCCAACCATTGGAATACGTTACCTTTGGGTCAAAGGTCTCAACTAGGGGTCCAGCGCCAACTTTCCAATGTCGAAGGACAGCGGAGCGGCCCTCCTTCTCTGAGCCAGGGACAGCATACGACTCAGGCTTCCCGTCTGCAGGCGAACCATAGTATTTCTTCGCCTCGATGGCGACGGGGTCTTCGGGGGAACTGAAGAACATGCTGACAAGGGCTACAGGTGGCTCGAATAGTGTGGCGTTCTAGGCTGTTTCTTTGGGGTGATGCCGAGACGAGGCGCAATAAGGTTTGCGAAAAAGAAGAAAGCTGGCTGAACTCAGGACGCTTTAACTATGCCAACCCAGAGTCGCGATATGCTATTCAAATAGTGCCGGTGCAAGAGGCAGAGAGAGAAGCAAAGGAACGTCAGACAAGGGTCATCAGTCATAGACTCACAGTGTATATAGCCAATCTATTGGAACGGTGGCCAACAAGTCCAACGGCAATGATAAGCTTCCCAGGCCATTGCCGGCAATGGTGACGTCCGACTGCCGAAGCTCTTTGCCGAGGCCGTACAAATAAGTACTATTACGCTATATTTTATGCGAAATGGTACTTTTGAGTACATAAGAAATCGTCTTGGCGTGCGTCAGGGGCGGCAGTTTCACGCGTGAAGACTTCCTTTATTGGTTTAAGGGGAAGACAACCCGCACCTAGTACTCCGAGGCGTACAAAATCATCGCCGCAATTGGCGGGTTCTCGGCTGCCCCGAATAATTGGTCCCGTATGATTTGCAGAGCTCAACGAGTGAAATTAAAGGTATATTCAATGTAACCAGCACGTTTTGCCTGATATACCGCAGAGGCGAATTGCAACCATGGAAAAAAGTCGTGTGGTCTAATGGTTATGATTTCTCGTTCACAAAGTTGAACAACCTGTTACCGAGAAGGTTCCCGGTTCGATCCCGGGCACGACTAATTATTTTTTTTTATCGCCTGTTGTTGATCCGCCCATCCTATCTAGTTTTCTTATCGTTTGGATACAGAAGTTTTCTTTGGCGACTGTTGAACAGCAAGTAGCTCCATTGAATAGGGTGATGCATTTGACTTCGAATCGCATCAGCCGACATACCTAAGATGAAAACCAAATGTATTGAGACGAGAAGAATTGCTTTCATTGAAGACCCTGACAGTGGCTGGGATCGACATAAAGTATCTAGACAAAAGGAGATGATGTCTATAGACAGGAAAGAAGCTAGAAGATATATAGCGTAACTATCTAAAGTATCGACCCCATGTCTAACTAATGACCAGCAACCCCTGGCGCGCTGATGAAATCTGTTGTCTCCTTCAAGCCCCTGAGGACGACCTCCCAAGCCAAACGAGCAAAACATGCAAAACAACCGAGCGAGAACTGCTGCTAAGTGCCAAGCGATGAGATCATGAAGCGATAGATAAATGGTAATGGAGGTGAGTAAGGGGAGCAACTGTCTAGTAGTGTGATAGCCAACCTCAGTCGGGCATAACATACGCGAGACGAAGATCCTCAGTCAGCTATATGCGTTGGTCAGGGGAGGGCAGATACAACCACTTCACATTCGACGAGACTGAACTGCTTTTATATGCATCGGACCTGAGAGCCAGGCTGATATCGACCATCACCTCGACCTCATAC